TAATTTGAGACAAGCATTATTGAGGGAAATCAATGTCATCAAATAATCTGGAAAACAACAACAAAACAGAATGGGGTAGCAACAACACAGAATGGGGAGGAGAGGATTTGTCACTGGCTGCTAGTGATGTCATGGGCTCTCTCCAGTGGAGCCAAGACCATTATGATCACTTCATCCTATGTACTCTCACAATAGTCTCAGTAGCACTGGTAGTGGCATGGTGAGTGGACAGGAAAATATCATTGCCCCAGTGATGAAATATTTGAGTACTGGGAAAGTGTGATTCTCTCCCTTTCTCCATTACCTTGAGACAAGAAATCTGGCTTCCATGCAACAAATGCGTGTTTTCGTGCAGCTGAAAATTTACCGTGCATGTGCGCACACACAATCAATAACGTGGAAAGATGCACCAGTGAGAAAAAAGTAATGAAAATTCATTTTTCTCCTCTGTTAATTATTATTATTATTATTATTATTATTATTTATACTCCGCCCATCTGGCTGGGTTTCCCCAGCCACTATGGGCGGCTCCCAACAGAGTATTAAAAATAATAGGGAGAAGGAGGGCAAGAGTCATCAAGGAGTTTGTTCTCAGGAACAATTAGGTGCAGAGAGGTTGGAAAAGTGACTAAGACGTGCAAATTAGCAGCCAAGGTTAGTTTGATTAGCAACAGAGAGGTGTTCTAGAAGAAGTTAATCCCAAGATCTCACAGCGGCTCATTGAATGCATAATGTAAGAGGCTAAAAATAAAAGGAAGGATCGTCAAGTGCAACTGTGTGCTTAAGAGTAGAGAACTGTGGATATTAGGATAAGTTGCTTTTGTTATACTGTTGGCTCTCTTGTCAGCTTGTTTGTTACACATCATGATTACCTTTGGCTTCCATTCTGAATGCATACTATGATCCCCATTCAGAAACAGCAACAGAAGCCTTCTGAATCACCATCTTTAGCTAAATGCAAATCATGAGCATTCTGAGGAATGTCTGAAGGGGTTGGACATATTTATTCTTACCTAGAAAGGAGAGACAAAGAATTATGAACGGAGGGGAGATAAGAATGGTAGTGTTTGTTTTATCTTTCTACATGACCACTTCCCATCAGCCAGGGGTAGACAAAGTGGTGTCCTTCAGGTGGGACTGCAATTCCCATCAGCCCCCTACAGCATGGCCACGGGTCAGGGGTGATAAGTGTTGCGGTTCTACAACATCTTAAGGGCACCTCATAGAAACCAGTTGCTTCCTCTGGCCATACAGGTCAAGAAGCCATGGGTTTCAGTTGCACAAAAGAAGCTACAGTACCTGTGAAATATTAGGGGAAACGTTCAGTTTCTAGTAGTGTTTTCCCTTTAAAACACGAACGGTGTTATTCAGAGTGCCAGCTTTATGATATTAGAGAATGAGGGGTGCTGCTTCTGCCAGCTCTGTGGGCATAAGCAACTTATTTGCAGTTCATAGAAATCACTGTGCATTTCTCGGGGGGGTAATTGTCCCCTGTGCAGCCCAAGCACCTCTCCAGTATCAGGCAGGCTCAGTGTCAGCAGAGGTCAAGGATGGAACAGCTCTGAGAAACGAAACCCCAGGAGCTAGCAGTTCAGTGCAGAGCAGATGGTGGGATAATGTTGGTGGAGGATGTCGCCCTCCAGGAATGTCAGGGTCAAACATCTCACCAGCATAGGGCGTTAAGTGTAATGGGAAGGGGAGGGCTGAAGAGAAAGGGAGGGAGATCAAGAAAACAGGAGGTTAAATGAGGCGATGCTTGTGCAGTGGTACTGCGCCACTCCAGAGCTCTGCCAAAGAGAAAGGTTACTTGCCTGCCACTTCATTAGGAGAAAGGGAGGCACTTCAAGGAGCCTCATCTGTTGAGTAGACAGAGTGGATCCTAACGAAAGGAATGACAGATTAAGAACTGTCTGGGAGCTAATGTACTGTTTACTGCAGTATAAATGGCTGGTGTTTGGGGAATGACAGCTGAGAGGAAGCGACAACCGGGTGGTAGCGGAGGGGAGGGGGAGCTTTCTTGATTTCCGAAGCTCCTGCTCCGAAGCAAAACTGCACTTTGGAAGGAGAGAGATATGGTCTCCTCTGGATTCCCTTCCACCTTCTGTTCTGTTCTGCCTAAACAAACAGGCCAATTAAAAAAAAAATGGCAGCTTGGTCCTACTGTGCAAATGGTATTGAATTGAATGCTTGCTTTTCTTTAATTATTAGTGGAAATGATCACTAGCCTTAAGCACAGATTGGATTGGGGACTGAGAGCTGTGGCTCCTTCCCTTCTTCCCTTCTTGCCCCCGTGAACCAGCTCCTTGCTCCAAAAAGAGGGACAACCCTTTTTAAATTATCATCTTTATTTATTAAATTATATTCTGCTTTTCACCTCATCTGGGCCTCAAACCAGCTTACAAAGGATAAAAAAATGTACAAAATACAGAATGTAAAGTATGAATTAAATCAGTGGAGAATAAAACATCAGAACAGCATTCATGGTGCAAAGGTCTCCTGGAATATAAAACCATTTTAACTAGGCATCTGGAACTTGGCAGGGACAGTGCCTGCCTGATTTCTTATTAACAGAGTAAAAAAGCTCTATTACCAGAAAAGGGGAGGATCCTTCTTCATCATTAAGTACATTTGTGGAGAAAGAGAATGGTAATTTATGATGAGAAGCCATCTCAACAAATTCACCTGAAAGAAAAGCTGGGTATTGGAAACACATATACACAGAATCAGGGAGGAAAGGTCAATTTCTCTTTCTTTAGGTTCTCAGATTATTTTTCGCTGCCATTATAACCAGGACATTTTTTCAGCTCTAGCACCTCTCAGGTGGGCACCACTACCATCCTAAGAGAACGAGGGAGGCGTTTGTGGTGAGTTCTGGCACCTCTTTTTCTAGAAAAATAGCACTGATTATACCTGTCATCATCATTAAGGCAACAGCCTATGCAAAATCTAATTTTAAATGCTGGCTGCAACTCTTAAATAATAATTTTATTTTCCTCCTTTCCAGACAGCATTCAATATGTATATTTCCTTAGCTTTAAAGCCATGTAACATGTATGGGTTTTTCAAGCTGAAGGGAGCTGCTATTCAGCGGCAGCAGCTTCTACCTTGACAGATGTTAACATGAGAGAGAGAGTCTCCTGCCCGGCATGCTGTCTGCTTCTCGTATTCCTCTGGCTGCCTTTAAATTATGAGATTTCTCTGTCTCTTTGCTATGCCCAGGTGTGGAGTGATCTGCTAAATGCCAGGCTCTTCTTCTTCTTCCCAGGTCTCCACTTTGTGCAATAATGTATTGTTAGGGAAAATGGGCACCCGCACTCCAAAAACAAAACAGGTGCTTTCTGCACTTGTGTTAACACTATTCTGTATGAAGAGGAAGGCTCTTCAAGATGCAAACAGCAGATTCTCCAGAGCCCAGTGGCCTTCCAGGAACGTGTGATCACACTTTGATAATGATCACATACATCTGTGTCACCTTTTCATTGAGAAAGACTTTCCACAATAGAGGGACAACTTTATTTCTTCCTCTAGGTTAGAAAGAAGCAGCTGTTTCCCAGTCTGCAGCAAGCATAGTTCCCGAATGCTCAGTGGAAGGAAAGGAGAACTACGGGCATATAGGAAGTATTTGCCCATTTGGCCACTGGCATATGGCTTCAAATGCTGCCATGTCTTTAGATGTCCTGAAAAGCATGCGGCATCAATGCTTCCACAGTGTGTGATGCAAGGATGCATATATTACGGATTTAAAATGATAATGTCTTTGCTGAAGCTTTTCTTTCAGATCTTTTGAAACATGCAACCAACTAGATGTGTAAGATTATATCCCAAAGAACCACAATTTCTTTCACTGTGACATGGATGCCCTAACTTCTTAGGTTTGGTCTAATAATAAGAATAAGAATAATAAGAATAATAATTTATTATTTATACCCTGCCCATCTGGCTGGGTTTCCCCAGCCACTCTGGACAGCCTCCAGCAAAATATTAAAATACAATACACATTACCTTATCTCCCTAGGAAGATGGGGTTGTGGGGTGCATTACTTTCCATGTGAGATTATTTCTCTGACTAGCCTCGAGTTCACTGATTGTACGAACCAAGTAACTATTATTATAAGCAATTAAATGGTCCTGTGCATTGGGTAATGCATAGCAAAGACACAAATCCTCTTCACAGAATTGACTGTTGATTGGTTGACATGTGCTGGCAACACTGTTTTGTTTATTTATTTATATATATATATTTTAAAATGACCACAATGAAGAGATCTGATATTGTACATTTTATTGTAATTTAATATTGAATGGATTCAAGAGTGGGTCATTACACTTTGTTGAGAATCTTCCCCTCTGGTGGCTATTTGAAATGGAGCAGTTTGGTCAATTCTTTGTGATGTGTTTCCATACATCAGGACATCTGATAGGCCATAGGAAGGAAGATGGAGCTAGATACCAGTCACAACATGGGGGTAAACAAGGAAGCAGCCATATAATTCAGGGGTGGGAAATCTGTTGCTCTCCAAATATTATTGGACTACAGTTCCCACCATCCCCAGCTACTGGGCATGCTGGCTGGAACTGATGGGAGTTGGACATATGCAAACGGGAACCTTACATTCAAGCAGCTGATCACACGTAGATGTCCTTTGAAGACATCTATGCTCAACACATAGATGCTAAGGTGCGGCTGGCAGAGTTGGTAGGACCAGCAGGCACGGTCCTGCTCTTCCTCCATGCATTTGCATTACATGTGGAGTATAATTTCAAAATATCAATTCTCCCCTTTAAAATGGTATGTGTGATAAGTGGTTTGGCACATGTCTGTTTTGTGGCATTCAGAAAATACTGAGAAGTGGGACTCCACAAGTGTGTGCCTTTGTAGTGAAACAGGCACATGCGCTAATGTGACCACATAACATGCATCATATAGGCTTACAGTGGCATCATAATCAGCCTTCAAATCCACGCCAAAGATCTAGAACTTGACTAGGAGGCCACTGTGTTAGTATCAGGAAGCAAGATATCAGAAAGCCATTTCACCAAAGATGATTAAGAGAGTCTTGCTCCAGAACCCCTTTAGAAGTTAAAAAATGAAAAGAAAAAGAGATGGAGGTAACTTACGGAATAGGCCCTTTTCAGCGCTGGGACCAGTGTTGTGGAATTCCCTCCACAATGAAGTTTACTGAATTTACAGTGCAATACAGATGTAAGTCCAATTGAATTCAGTGGGTCTCACTCCCTAGATAAGTGGGTATAGGATTACAGCTTTAGAAAGCTGGCAAATACCTTTATTCTTCAAAAAACATTTGAGGAGTGATTCTGGCTTTTTGTATGTGGATTGTATATACTATATTGTATTGCTGTAGTGTATATTGAATTTAGCTACTAACATGAGTTTGACCAAACTGCGGGAGGAGGACAGGAGTGCCTGGCGTGCTCTGGTCCATGCTGTCATGAAGAGTTGGACACGACTAAACAACAACAGCAACAGCAACATATTGAATTTAAGGGCCAATATGTATTGGGTAGGGCTTTCCCCCCCATTGTGTTGTTTTATGGTTGTGAACTCACAACAATAAAAAATAAAACAATACAATGTCAAAGGCAGGGGAGCTCATCTGGACATAGAATAGGATAACAATTTAATAAATGAAAAACGAACGATCCTGAAATCTCCAAGGAGAGAGGCAGTGCACAGTATTGATCCACCAAGACTTTTGTTCCTAGGGGTTTCATCTATAGAATTGCAGGCTGGAAATATTCTTGGTTAAGCATTTAAGCATAATAGTTCTCATGTGGGAAAGGTAGACATGAAAGCAGTAGGTAGGAAAACGCCTTTCTCTACTCTCCTGGAGTCTGCAGCCTGGCTTCCAGCTGGGCTCTTGTGAGAGCACAGCCTGAAAGAGACCATTAGGGTGCAAAAGCAATGAATGATGCTAGTCCTGGTCTAAAATCATCTTCCATTCACTTCTTTGGTAACGTTTGGGACAAAATATGCTATGAGTTTTCTGGGATCTCACTGGGGGAAAAGGCTACTCAATTAAAACAAGCTAAGGAAACAAGCTTCTTTTGCCCTGTGTAAGCAGTGAAAGGGCAGAGGCAACAGTGAGTATCTTCAGCAGCTAAAGAAGAAAGGAGCTTGAAAGACCCCAAATCTGGAGTGAGGCCAAATGCAAAGTGAGTTGTTTTGGGATGAAGAGGCAGCTCATGGAAGAGGGGAACTGGGCACTGGGAGAGCTGCTAAAGCAACATTTGAGGTGGGGGCCCACAAAGCGCTTTGTCATCATTTAGAGAGAAGTTAAAATACGGGGCGGATAAGGACGTATAAATTGGCAGCAGATTGTGGTTTATGGTAATGACAGTCCCAGAGGAGCATCTCTCTCTTGGTGACATTGAAGTAAATTGCATTGCTCAAGATGTATACTAAGGATGGATAATGAGATGTGTGCACAGGGTAGAAAAGATTGTGGGTTTTATGATGCTATTGAACTCCCGGAGATGAGTGTGTGTGTGTCTTTGAAAAAGCCAAGTTGCAGAGGGGGAAGGGAAGGGAGGAGGGTGCCAATGGTAACACAAAGCTCCAAAAATGCATTGTCTTGCTGCAGCCCAAATATTTGTACTTAATACACTCCCTAATCAACTCTTTTTAAATATGTGCACAGCCTTTCACATGCACACCAAGGATTCCTCCCTCCCAAATTATCCCTTTCTGCTGCATCAGAGACCAACTCTGAAGCTGCCCTGAATTTAGATTCAGCTTATCCAACAACACAAGCCGTTGTTTTCAGTAATGGGAGGAAGCATCGGCAGCAGAAGGCATTTCTTAAGAGAATTAGACAAATTCAGGGAAGATGAGGCTGTCAGTGGTTACTAGCGAAGATGCCTGTGTTTTGCCTCCACTTTTGGAGGCATACTGCCTCTGAGCACTAGTTGTGGGGGACCGCAAGTGAGGGGAGGGTAGCTGTTCTCATGTCCTGCTTGTGAGCTTCCCATTGGCATCTGGATGGTCACTGTGGGAGTAGGATGCTGAGCTAGAAGGGCCTTTGGTCAGCTCTTCCTGAGTGGGGAAGAGTGAAGAGCTTCCCACAAAGCCTTTTTGGATCAGGGCCAGCAATGAGGCAAGAAGATCATCAGGTCATAAGAAAACCCAGCTCACAACTTGGCTGGCCATGTCTCCCACTTTACAAAGGATACTTCTCGTCTTCAAAGAGTTCTCTGTTTGAAGGGCTATTCATTCCAAGTACACATTTAAAATAAAGATCCCTGAGAAGGGAGAATGGGGGGCCTTGGAGATGTCTGTCAAGAGCATCCCTAGAGCAGGCTGAGCAGGCTCACAGATCATCAGGACACTGTCTTCCCCACAAAGGTGAGATGCATTGTATTTCTGTTTAAACTACATAAACATTTTGTAAATTTGCACCTGTATCTATGAATTAACATATGGACATTTAAAAATGACTTGACTTGTTCAGCACATTTATCTGCAAAACTTTTCTCAGAATACGATTTTCTGCATTTTGAATTTGCTGTCCACATATTTCACATATGTGGAAGACACATAGCTTATTGGTAGATCATCTGTTTGCATGCAGAAGGTGCCAGGTGCAGTTCCTAGCATCTTTATGTAGGCCTGGGAAAGACTCCTGTCCGAAAGCCTAGGGAGCTGGTAGTGGTCAGGGCAGAGGGAGCAAAGGTCTTATGAGATATAAGGCAGCTTCCTGTGTTATCACATCCTAGCATAAGTATTCTTGCCCGGTTTGCATTCAAAGCCTTGTATTTCTTAGCACTCTTTTCAAAGTGTTGACTAGCTTGCTATTTAAGGAGGCTCCCAATGTTCCCTTCATCTGAATTTCAGTCCCACATTCTGGGATTCAAAATTACTTGGTCTTTTGGAAGTTTATGAGGTAGAGCAAATGCACAGAATAATAGGAGAAAGGCAGAAACGACATGCTCATCCTTTCTTATCCCTTATTGCTGTTCCCCTTCAAAATATTAAGTGGCTTGCTCTTGCACATGGCATTGAGCTGTTGCTCAACATGCTCAGCAGTGCTCATGACATGCTCTTTGTCATGCTGACAGTACACTCTCTGTCCTCACTGCTTTCATCTCTATCCATCATATATGCACAGGCATGGCATGTCTCCAGTTCTGCATCCTGTGAAGATCAGGGGCATTGCATTTGCATCTTCCCACAATGCCTTAAGGATAGCACTCTCTTGCCCCAGTGACAAAATGTTTGTGCCTGGAAATCACAAAAGAGAATACGCTAGGGACTGGGGAGATTTGATTCAGTTCACATTTGAAGGTGAACCCACCTAATTTGCACTTTTTGAAACAATATGTGAACCAAAACTCATCCATACCTCTGAAATTCACACTTCTCCCAATTTTGCAGTGCAGTTCTCCTGCCAAGCAATGTGTACACTAGGGTAAAGTGGGCATAAAAATGCATAGACTAGTGACAATTATGTGCAAAAATGCCTTACATTTGGGGGAAATTGTTTTGCAAAAATGCAAATATTAAGTAAGCTTGCTCATAAAAATGTGTGCATTAGGAGAAACAACAGATGTATTTTCATAAAGACTTTAAAAGAAAAAAAGCAATCAGATGTCACAGTATGGAGATGTGAACTTAAGAGTGGAAAAATGAGAAACTGCAAGAAACCAAAACTGATAGATTTCCCCATCACTGGAACAAGCTTGTTGTTGTTTTTATATGCCATTCCTAACAGATATGAGCTGCTGGTGTCAAACCAAAAGGCTCTGAATTCTCCTTCTTCTGTTCAACGTGTGCAAATTATTGTGACCTTTATATGTACTTGTGGGGGGTGTGCTTGTTGTGGCTTGTGCCGTCATGCTCATATTGCAAGACCACCCAGGGGGAATAGTGTGTGTGTGCGTCTGTTGCTGAGGTTACTTCCTTTTCTTCTCTCCGACCTCCTGCACCCGGATTCTGAATGCGGAGAAATTCTTCACCTCCAAGTGTGTGTCATCTTAAAGCTGACTTTCTCTAAGCATAGCCAGGCAGCTGTTGCCAAGGCCAGCTGGCGTAAATTCTCTCCGTTTGACAGCTGATGAAGGGATGGAGGATTTATAACTTATTTGAGTTCCCATACATCACCCTTTGTGTCGCTTGCTTATGATGGCCTTGCCAAAAGATAAAGAAGTGCAGGACTCTCAGTATGGGCTGTGTTGACAGGCCAGGGACAAATGTCTCTGTTGGGTAAATTGATTTGAATAGCTCTAGTGAAATATCAGGCGAGGCTGAAAATATGATTGGGTTTAATGATCCTCCTTGCATTGTATCCCACTAGAATTCCAAATGGCAGACAAGTTAATTAAAGTCACGTATAGCATTGGGAATGGAAGGAGAACATAATCGGTAGATATAGATATGTATTGTCGGAGCATCTATCTATTAACTGTATCTGTCTGTCTATCTAAAAGTTATTTCCCCCTCCTGCTATTTCCAATATAGTGACTTTCCTAGGAGGCCAATAAATATCATCTGTAATTTATAGGGTGTTTATCCAGGTAAAACTGTTCAGAATATTTTCCCCTAACCCCTAGAGTCTAACAAGCAAAAACCTCGAGGCATAAAAATGCAGAATGAAAAGATGGAGAGCAGACAAACTGTTTATTCTCCTCTGGTGAAATTTAGTGCACATAAAACTTAATATGGTGTTAAGAATTGAGCATTCATTTTCTGTGAGCAAAGGAGGTTTGCGGCCGTATAAGTTGGGAATCGGAAAGGGAAGGTAAAGTAGTAGTTGTTGTTGGTGTGTGTGTGTGTGTTTATCTATCTATATATTGCATACATGAATGAAAATATGTAAAAAATAAAGCAGATATATCTTCACGTATGCCCTTTGCACCTCTCTTTGGGCATGACCTCAATGCTGCCCTTGTGTGCAAAGTAGTTTTTGTTGTTCATGTTTAAAAGAATTATGGGGGGGAAAGTTTGTTTGAGTTTATCTCATGTTGTACATCTCTGCAGCATCTGTTGAATGTTATGAACTCAGACCTTCCTTATTCAGCAAAGTATCACGAGAGCATCAAGAGATCTTGTAGGGTGGAAGAATAAGGTGGGTCAAGAGAAGCAGTGATTTCTCAGTGCTACAATGCCCCACGAGTGTCAAATGAACATCCAAACACACTTTGGTCAACAGATGGGGCTCCGCTGTGTGCCAGAATTATCCAAAGTTAAATTGAGTGGCAAAAGGCACATGACATTCTTGGTGGTGATGACCTCCTTGTGGAATGCTCAGCCATCAGAAGTATGATAGACATGTTCAGTGCTAGCATTAAAGAGGTAATTGAAAACCTTATTATTCATGTAGGCATTTGGGGAGATGTGAAAGGAAAATTATCCCATTCTTACTTAATGTTTTAGTAGCATCTGTGTGTTGGTTTTTACACTGCTTTATTTTTATTGATGTTGTATTGATGAGATTATATTGTTTATTGTTAACTATCATGGTGAAAACAGAAATTTAGATTTAGAATAAGATAAATGAATGGGACAGAATTGTTAAAGATATGAAAGAAAGTCAGAAGATAAATTTATATGAATATATATATATATATATATATATGGCAAACACATGCGAGTTGTGAGTAAGGTCAAAAGGAAATTGTATGGGGGCTACAATCTTATTATTTTTTTATATTTTGCTGGAAGCTGCCCACAGTGGCTGGGGAAACCCAGCCAGATGGATGGGGTATAATTATTATTATTATTCATATTTACCTTGGAATAAGCCACATTGAATCAAATGGCACTTACATGGGTAAACATATGTCACTTAAATAGTAAGATTGTGTGTTCAAAAAAAGAGGGGGGGGGAGACCTACATCATGCATGTTATTGGTGACACGAAGATCAAATCACATTATTTGTTAATACCTAGTAGCCACGTAAATATATAATGGGCGATATCCTGTGATGTCTGCCTATTTGCACACACAAAAACCCACTTCAGCATGACTTCACCTTCCTCCTCTCCCACCTCCAGTGCCATCCAACCCCAGGGTTTTTTTGGAGGCCCCCCAACCCTCTGGAACAGATTGGAGGTGGGCCCAGGCTGCAGGAGAAGCAGACAAAGGAGAAGCCGTGTTACGCAAGCAGACACCCTATTGAACTTCATTGAATCTCACCCAAGAACTTTCTGGAAATGTAGTGATAGAATTATCAAAGAGAAAACAGGAGAAATTGTACTCCTAAAACCAATGTTTTTGTTGTTGGGACTGTTTGAGCAATAAATCAGTGTTTGATAAACAACCTGCTTATCAATGCTCAGGTATATTGATTGTAAAATATAGGAAGAAACCCAGCTTGCCAGCAATGGATAAATGGCTTCAAAGTACCTGGAAAATTCTGATAATAGTAAAAATTACCCACTCTAAAGTGTGGGACAACAAGCAGTTCACAATTGTGTCTGTTTAGGACAACAGGGGGCCTTTTGTGTTATACTGCAACAGAATTAAACATACAAAGACGAGTATGTCAGAAAATATTTAATATATTGTATATTAATTGTTTCTGATGTGATCTCTCCCCACACCTGCACAGATTAATTCTAAGGTTCCTCACAACTTTTAAAAAGCCTCTTACATAATGACTTGAATATAGGAATTTCACATGCAAGAAGGTTTTGCCAAATGCTTATCTAATTTTCATGAATTCCCAAGGAAAATGTTTACATATGGCTGAGGGTGGGCATTTAAATTACTGATTTTATTTTTTTAATAGTTCTGGTTAAGCAGCTCACTACACACTTCCTCCAGCTAGGTGCAAAGTAATGAAATAGACGGTGGCAGCACAACAACTGTTTTGTAGCCTCACATCCTGTCCCACATTATGATTGTATTTTATTAGAAGGAGCCTATAAAGATGATTTCAGGGCCCAAGCCAGTAGCCAGTTGAAACTGTGTATGTTGAGGGAGTATCAGGGGAGACAATATACTGCCTTCAAAATATTGCAGACTACAACTACCATCCCTGATTATTGGCCATGCATGCTGGGGCAGATGGGAGTGTAGTCAACATCACCTGGAAGGTAACACAATGGCTATATGTGATTTACGCACACAAGCACATGCTGGACATTAGTGGAAGATAGGCTGGAATAAATGTCAGTGATCTCTTTGTGAGGCTGTGAAACACCTCTAAATGGGAAGTCAGACAATGGCAACATTCATTGTTTGAGCTCAGTTGTTTATAAACAAATGCCCCCAATTAAGTGAGAAATGGAAACACTGGCTTTTTAAATCATTAAGACCTAGAAATATACAGTCATGATTCCAGATAAGAGATCAAGCCATGCAGAGTGCAGGGAAGGAGGAGATAAGCATGATGAAGCAGTAGACATAAACCCAGGAAATATAATTTTTAAAGAAATTACCAGTGGGTTGACTAATAAAAGGAGAAGGGGAAAGGTTGCTGGAGAGAACAAGAGGCAAGGTGAGAATCAGTGCGGGAATGAATGTTTACAGGGCTGGCAGGACTCTAGTAAAAGGGAAGCCGGAGCAGGGCTTGAAAGGTTAATGCAAGCACTCCGGCCCTAAGCTGTAAAACCATCTGCTGGTTTATAGAGCAAAGGCAACCTGGAAACAAATAGCCTGGCCTGCCAAGCCTTAGGTGAGACTCATTTGTGCAATGAAGAAGTGCTGAATGTTAAAAAGAGCTTGGAAGCTGCCCCAAACACAGCCAGAGGTGGGGCTGGCATCAAGCTGCACCATGTAGGAAGCAGACTGCACCATGTAGGAAGCAGCTTTGCACCATTTTAATATATATCTTTTCCCCAAGGCAAGAGTGGCAGCGAGTTCAGGCAATAGAAGGCCACCTTTGGAGCTGCAAAGCCAACTGGACTTCTGGAGCAGCCAGAGATGGGAGAATAACAGCACTGAGTGGTGAGGAGGGAGAACAGTGGTCCCCTCACCAAGCAAAGGCTTTAAAAGGACAGTAGGACCTCTGGCAGGGGAGGATGAGGGGGAGAGGCAGCGAGGTAGCATGGGGCACCCAGGACATCACCTTTCCCTGGGCCCCTTCAAACATGGCAACATATTTGCTTCTGTGACGCCCAGGGAAATGCCATCATCTCTGGTTCCTCCCATTTATTTCACAAAATATTCTGTGTAATGAATTTCTAAAGTTTGTTTGCAGCCTGTGCGAAGACGGATGTAAGGAGCACAGCAAAATAAATTTCTCTCGACTTGCAGCACTAATAGGTAACATGACACTTTGGTGCAATGTCACGCTTTGAGACACATTGTCAATCAATCATGCTTTATTGCTCCAACTTTCCTTAATGCGGGCTCATAAAATCAAAATCAAAACACAGCCACAGCTACACAATAAAACTACAATACAGGAAACGCAGCAGAAAGCCAAACTTGCTGGCATAGCAAATGTTATGTTAATGCACCATGGCCAATTATAAGTGTTTAAAGGCACTGCTTGCAACAGTGTTTCTTTTCTTAAGAAATTTGGGGGACACTCCATTGAGAAGTTCTCTGATACAAGGCCCATGGGAATTGATGGAAGTTACAGAAATCAAGCTAGTAGGTAACTTTTAAATAGTAAATAGATGTATGGCACAATTGGTTTGGGTGATATGCTTTTATAAGGAAAGATTTGGGTTGAGTCCTACTTCTCTGACTCACTAACCCCAGCCTTCGGAATAAAGAAGATAAAAGTTGTGAAAACTCATGTATCATTGTGATTACCGTCATCACCATCATTTGTTAAATTCTTCATTTTACTTTGGAAATTGGCCTTCAGTAGAACACTTTTGTGATTCATTTTACAATTAGCAGTCTACATTTTTGGGCTTACTCACAGGCAATTAGTTGCTGACATTTGTCCTTCTGTGTGACGAAAGTGAGCCTTGACTACAGCAAGACGCAATACTGCCCGTCTGAATTCCATTGACTGGAATGGAAACTTTGTGGCCAAGTTAGATTCAGTTGCTGCTAACTTTTGATGGCTCATAGAGAGCGCCATCATTATGCATAGCAATCTATAGGACAAAGTCCTATTAAGTTGCAAGTGTGTATGCATCAGCCCCAGAGACTTGAGTAAGATTTAAACATTTGTTACCAGTATGTATAGGACTGTAATTTAGGGATGCAAATCTTGCTAGTGAAAACCTTTTACAAAAATGTGTAGGATCTAGAGTCTCCATAAACAGACCTCTGCTTGTGGGATGCTCCCAAAGAGAAAAGTGGATAATTAGTTTAAGTAGGTTGGAGGACCCACTGTGGTAGATTTTGAAGATGCTCAGGGAGAGAAGATGAAGGGGAAACACTGCTGCATGAGCAGAATGTCATCTAGCCCCCTGGACCCCCCCAGTTTTAAAACATTTATTGCAAGTTCCCCAGCTTTCCCTATTTCCCTCCTTACAGCAGCACTATAGCTTTATCTGGTACATAAAGACTGCAATCCTATAGCCACTTAACTAGAAATAAGCCCCACTGAACTCCTGACATGCTTGCACCATAAATTTGATTATTTAACAGTGTCACAAAAGTTGTTTCACCCTACCAAATGTAACAACTTTTCAGTGTCACACTCCAAACAAAGAAAATATATGAATGTGCTGCTATTGTAGTTGTTTAGCAGAGCAGAAAGTTACATAAAATGTAGCCCAGAATGGATTTTACTAGTTTTTTTTAAAAAGAAACCTATGCAAAAAGAAGGGGGAAATTTTATATATAACTAAAGGGTTGTAGCTCAGTGGTAGGGCGTCTGCTTTGCATGCAGCAAGTCTCAGTCCCAGGAATCTCCAGGTCCAGTAGGGAATGTCTCCTGCCTGAAACCCTGGGAAGCCATTACAATACTGTGAAGGGCCAATTGTCTGGCTTGGTAAAAGCAGCTTCCTGTGACCCTATATGAATTAATGTGTACATTCATTTGGTTCATTGTGTATGGAATCAATGGTACCCGAGAGTTTTTTCCCCTTTTCCAAGGCTTGTATCATTGTTTACCAAATTGTAGACAAATATATTCAGTCAATTTGGCCATTAGAGCTAAGCTCCTGCAAGGTCCATCTTTTAATTGAAACAAATAAAAAAGAAGAAATGGTTTCTGAGTTCGGAATGGACTAAGCAGCTATTTGGAATGAGCTATGGCGTGTATTAGTAGGCCTTTGTAATAAAGCTGAATTGTAGACTGATAAGTGGATCTTGCTTCCCAGCACATTGCAGCTACTTTTATGGTACTGTCAATGTGCATTTCAGAATGTTCAAGTAGTAGGTGGGTTTCTGCTTATTTGTTTTATTAAATTGTGACTCTCTTATGCCCTCCTGCCCAAAAGAGGTCTCCGGGACAGCTTACTGCCAGGTATCATCAAACAATGTGAAACAATAATCAAAGAACAAAATGCACAGCAATGACACAAAGGACTAAAATTGCAGCAGGAATAGTTATGGCGCACACACCGGGAGCAGTGAACGATGCCATAAAACCTGCATTCAAATGATATACCCCAAGAGATGGATGTCAGTAGTGAGAGCCACAATTTGGGTGCTGCTATTAACAAGAAGGCTTGACTCTCTATGCCTCTCTCTCCAAACCTCACAGGGTAGAGGACCTGTAACAGGCCTGTTCTTGATTAGTTCTCAAGGGCCTGTTCACAGGGGAGGAGACAGTTCTTGACATACCCATTCCATTCTCTGTTCAGAGAAACTAAGCTTGCTTCCAGATGACCTGCTTATAGAGCTTTCGTCCTGAATAATGTTTGCAGAGAGGTTAGATGGCATCTATTAATTGGAAATGGATTCTTATTTGTTTGTGGGGAGGTGAGATGATGCTGCATCAAGCGTTACTGGACTGCTGCCTGAAAATTCAGAGACAGAGCCCCTGCTAGCTTGAAGTCAGATATACTAAAATAGATGGCCAATGGTCAGACTCAGTAGCCCCATGAGGACATTTGATCTGCGGTGCAATATATGAAAGCAGTGGTGTGGTTAGAATCATGCAGGAGACATGCCATTTTGCTGTCTGAGGTGAAAGACAAAATGGTGCCATCCCTATTCCATATACAGATGTGGACTGGACTGACAATATCCCTTCAGCATTGGCAATGGGGTGTACACTTGAGGAAGCAGGCTAGTTTAGGAAGTGAATGAAAGGTTGTGCGGCATACATAGCTGTGTCTTCCAGAGATGAATGGTGAGGAGGTTCAGGAAGAATTGGCAGGGTCTGCTGCCAGTGTCCCCTTCAGCTTTTCCCTGCTGAGGTGCTTGCCTCATTCTGCCTAATGATAGAACTGTCCCTGGTGATGGGGGGAGCAGCTGGAACCTTATTGGCACAAAGGTGGAGAACAAATGTAGTACCCACGAAGGAAGAATGGCAAGGTAAAATGTTTGAATATGCTGAACTGGCTGGTCTGATGAACAGGATAAGAGAAAACGAAGATAAGGAATATGAGGAGGAATGGACAATGTTTATTGAATATTTTAAGAACCAGTTTAAAGAAATACATAGTTTAGCAGGTCTTGAGTAGATGCAACAGAGCTGAAATAGATAGAGTATTTAATAGATAACAAATTGGATGATTAAAAACATTACGTAGAGTAGTAGAAAAGCAAAGGAACCAGGAAAAGTGTGGAAGGAGAGTCATATGGTATATGCATACATACTGTATTTGGTACAAAGCTGTAAGTGGGACAGGGGGAGGGGAGGGGGTTAAATAGGCTCTCTGTTCCTGTTTTTGAAAATGCAAGTATTTTTTTAAAAAAAGAAGAACTGTGACGTGGGTAAGGAAAGTGGACCCGACCCCTATGCCTTCCTCACATCTTATCCCTGGTTGACAGTCTGCACAGAGCTTGTATAAGCCTCAAATGCTTATGACCTTACCATCTAAAGTGAAATGTCTGCATTTCTGTGGTGAGTAAATAAATGGACAGCCATTAAATATTTGTTGCATTTCCCACCGTAGCTCAGCAGGTAATGGTAACAGTTCCCATTACACTTTCAGATCCATTAATGGAAACTCTTGGGGGAAAAAGGTGAGCCGTGTACTATTATGAACTTATTATCTTACTACTGCAAATCTTCTTGGTTAAGTGGAAGTATTTCCAAGTCACTTGGACACACAGAAGTACCAATGCTGAGCTGGGAATAAATAATGCAGCAATGTATTTTTGTTAACGCCTGGTTAATTACTGCAGCAAAATAACCTGTCAGGTCGAAACTCCTGCATCTCTCTTTCTCGCTCTCTCTTTTGGTTTGTTTTTGGCTGTTGCACAAGCCTCCATTAGGGCTGCTGAAATGGTAACTGGAAATAAATATACCATTTATCATAAAAGCTAACTAGGGATTCGTTTTAAGGATGGGACTCTGCTAAATCAAAAGACCAGCAGAAAATGAAATGGGAGTTAACAAATATTGTTTAATGCATATACTATAGCCATAATCAAGTTTGTCTTGCTTAGACTGCATTCTTACATGAGATGAAGTCTCACTGAACTCAGTGGAACCTACTTTTGAGTAGACATGTCTGGGGTTGCACAGTTCGTTTCCTTCCTGCAGACCTGATGTCTATTGCAGCTTTGCCTTACACCTCTCCTTACTGCAACCTTTGAAGGACTGTCTTGCTACTGTTAGCCACATCATTTGGGAAACTGCCGAGCCTGGCATATATTGCAAAGATCCTTCCTTCCTTGGCAATTGACAGTTTCTGCGCAGGACCTGATGATAGGTCTTTCCTGATGTCTGCAATCCCTAATCAGTCATACAATACAGAAGTTGGCAAGCAATAGACAGTCCAGTAGCTGTTTGCCAATGAACTTGTGGTTTTCCTGACTGAGATACTTCATAAGCACCTGGAGCTTTTATCTGCTAATACATTATTTCATAAAGCAATATGGATCAGCCTTTCCTTCCTATTAATAGGAGTGCCTTCACACAGACACACCCTATTTACTTACTTACTTACTTACTTACTTATCTATCTATCACTTTTATATCCCAGCCTTCCTCCAAGGATCTCCAAACAGGATACATGACTCTCACAGCAACCCCATGAGGTTGTTAGCCTAAGAGGCAGTGTCTTGGGAAGAGCTGCAAAGCACATGCTTTGCATCCAGAAGGTCCACGGTTCAATCCCTAACATTACTAACTCGGGCTGGGGAAGAAGAGTTTGGATTTGATATCCCGCTTTATCACTACCCTAAGGAGTCTCAAAGTGGCTAACAATCTCCTTTCCCTTCCTCCCCCACAACAAACACTCTGTGAGGTGAGTGGGGCTGAGAGACTTTGGAGAAGTATGACTAGCCCAAGGTCACCCAGCAGCTGCATGTGGAGAAGTGGAGATGCGAACCCAGTTCACCAGATTACGAGTCTACCGCTCTTAACCACTACACCACATTGGCTCCCTTATCCAAAATACTGAAGAGCCACTGCCAGTTGGTGTAGGCAATACTAACCTACAGTAGGTGGAATAATATTTAACTCAGATAAGGATGGGGGAGAAATTAAGTCCTTTGTGAATTTTGGGATGCGGTACTCCAGTTTTAAAAATGTGTACTTTAGGGGAAAGTGGGCAAAGAAATGCAAATATTAGTGCAAATAACATTCTGTTGCTTACAAAAACGTGTGCATCGGACAAAGTTGCATTAAATGTATTTATTAAGAGAAAGGTGCACTGAAATGCTGACACATTTTGGGGAGGACATTCCTTTGGGGGGAGAGAGAGAGAGAGAGAGAGAGAGAGAGGAATAGAACAGCTTTTCTTTTTCATGATAGGGTCCTCTTGTAACTTTAACAACTATCTGATAGGCGGAAAGTTGGTGGATCAAGCTTTTTCTGGCATGGAGATGAGTCATTGGGAAAGTGTCTCCCACTATATTTCTGTGTACCTGGCAACTGTTTTAGGCAATGGAAACCTACCAAAAGGAAAGCTGGAAATCCTTGCTGGTAGTGTCAGCATGCCAGTCTAAATATAACACCCATTAACTTTTTATGCTGTGAACCACCCAGAGATCTACAGGTGAAGGCCAGTATACTACTTCTACTACTACTACTACTACTACTACTAATAATAATAATAATAATAATTGTCTCCTTTGTCCTCCTAAATCCCAGATAATGAATAGTTGGAGGTTGTTACTCGAATGGCATTCTGTACCTGCTCAAAAGCATTCCACACTTTTGAACAGTGGCAGTGGGAAAACATTCTAGGGCTAAGCCCTGGGACCACATAAACTCCACTAGCAACCCCAAAATAGCCGTTTATCAGCATATTGCATGGCAATGCGCCTTATTTTAGGCAAAGAGAATTGTAACCATTCAATGTGACAGAAGAATGAGCATCCATATTTAGGCTCAGATCGCTGATATTCGTTTGACAAGCAGACCTTATTGACTCCATATGGGAGCAGTCTGCTTTCTATCAAGATATATTAGCAATATCAAGATCATGCATGTGGCATTTATGTATACATGCTCTGTCCTATGTCTGATCGCTACTTCTGCTTTGTTGTCTCTAGGCACTGTATGATGGTAATCTGTCTAGATTTGAATCAGGAAACACTGATGAGATGGGCAGAGAAGCTGAAATTCAACTGCTAGTTTTGTTTTGCTTTTGAATTACTCTCCAGTCTGCTAACCTCTCTGAAAACACTCCACGCTCTGTGGCTTCAGTATAAAAAAGTCATTAGTATAACCACAGCCCTGGGCCATTAGGTCACAAAAAAGCAGTGAAGGTGAGAAAAATAAAATACTAAGGAAGCTCAGTGAGAGATATATCCTTTTGGTCTGTGCTGCAGAGTCTCAAGTGACTCCACCACACTGGACATTCTGACAACACTCAGGAGGATGTAACGTGACCCAATGCCTCTGACAGGCAAGCTGTGGCTTCTCAGTAGCTATTATCAGAAGCAGGTAGGGGTGGAGCTGGAAAAGTGCCTCTACAGTTATTGGAAAACTATGGTTGTACCAAGTGGTGCTATGGCATGCTCTGTGTGACCCCTGGCAGACATACTTCAGGGAATGCCCTGGGTTACATTGTATGGAGGCACTTTGGAATAAGAGAAGGGGCCCTAAGAAAGCAAAGTGGAAGATAAGCATTGAAAGATGCATGGAAAGACAAGTAAGTCCTTGAGGGATAGCTCAGTCGGTAGAGAATGAGACTGTTAATCTCAGGCTTGTGGGTTCGAGCCACACATTGAGTGAAAGATCCTTGTCTTGCTGGGTTGGATTAGATGATCCTCCTGGTTCCTTCCCACTCTGCAATTCTATGATTCTATGAACTGATGTACCAAGGAGGTGGTAACTATGGGAATGTAGCTATAAAAATGGGCTATAGCTAAATGGATAGCCAAGTGCCACTGCCAGCTTCTCTTTCCAGCTGCTTTGGCCTCATGTTTCTTTCCCATCAGGAAAAACCGTCACAGTTTATTGCATCAATGTGGCAGAGCAGGTTTATGAATGAACACATGTACATAGGCAGGTACTAGACTGACCCAACTATCCCTATTCCAACCCCACAACCAACAAGGCAGGGCATCATTTTGGAGAGAGATTGTTACTAATTCTACATTATGTTCTTAAGAGTGAAGTTGTGACCACCAGAGAAGCTTGGGTGCAGAGACAATGTTATATCTTTTCCTAGTGTCTGATTCCAAGAGAAGTTTACCTATGACAGGTTATTCTTCAGAAAATAGATGTCAGGATTAAAAACCGAAGTCCGCTCAGAAGCAAGAAAATTAAAAGGAATCTTTCCCATTATGACTTTCAACCAGAAATTCTATAAGTCTGGAATTACCCATGGCTCATGCAATTCAGCTAATATCAGTCATGCTTCAGCAATCAAAGCAGAACCCTTGGTTTTTAAGTGTAAAGCATCTTCTGCAACCTGGTGCTCTCCAGATGTTTTTGACCGCAACTGCCATCACCCCCAACCATTAGTCATGCTGATTAGGGCTGATGGGAGTTGAGTCCGACAACATCTAGCAGCCCAATGAGGGAAGCTGGTGCAGAGTTTTCTTTTTCTCAATATTTGTGTATCAGACCACTTCTTCTAGCAAAGCCTTTTAGATTCAGATCTTGGAAAAAGAAAGATTTCTCTTACTCTTAAACCCCCACCCCACCCCCAACTTAAATATATCTACAGTGTTGCACAGCTTGTGGGATATGCTCCTTGGATAATGTGTCAGCTTCATCCTAGGGAGAGACTGATGACATGCCTATATCTTAAGTAGCATTCTTGACGTGTGCTTTGCAGTGGCTGCTACTTTGAGGTGATTGAAGAAATGCAGTGCTGGGCTAGAGTGATCTCCTGGTGGGCAAGGGATTTTAGAGTCAAAGATAACCTGTAAAGAAGCAATAGAATATGACAGAACATCTTGTTTGCTTTCTTTCCTTCTGTGCTACAAGGAATCTCTGGGTTATATCCAATGTAGCTCCAATTTAAAGTCACTTAGCAGCATGCTTGTTCAACTGGTGAAATATTTTGCACCAGGAGTACATTGTTGCATGAGACACTACCTAAGCAGGTTGCTGGTGAAGCAATAGATTGCACATTGTGTTGTGCAGCAAGTTTCTGTTGGCACAACCATTGCGTTAGATTTGTCTGTTGCACAACGTTCACCCATCCGCTGCTTGCATTATTGTTACTATTATTATTACTATTTTATTGCCTAATAGAAACAGTCTCTAGCTGACTAATGGACAGAATCAAAATAGAAAATTAAAAGCTTAGTTATCGCCAATAAACTAAAAGAAAAGCAAAATCACAAATCACATCAACAATAGCAATAGCACTTCAGCAGTCTATGGACCATGATGACACAGCAGAACCTTTCAAACACCTGGGAAAAGAAGAAGGTCTTAACTTGGTTCTGGAAGGTTTTTACAGTTCATGTAAGGCAGGCCTCACTGGGGATGTGGTTCTACCTTCCAGACTTCTTTAGGGACATATAGAAAACGGCTGCAGGTGAGGAATATAACATCATGTCAGGAGAGGTGACCCCTCCAGTATTTGAGCCCTGAGCCATATAGGGCTTTGTAGGTTAAAACCAACACTTGGAATTGTATAAGAGGAGGAGAATGTATGAAATGCTTTCTGCTATACATAGTCTTAAGAAATACCTGCTCAGTTTTATGACCCTTTGAAAACATTTGGTTTCTGGCGATATTCCCAAAGTAGTAAGAATCTATGAAATATCTGTTTTTACATCGAATTGGGAGAGAAAAATAAAGTGGCAGGGAGCAGTCTGCCTTTCCAAGCCACTGTTTGGTTTCATTTGGACCGCAGGTCATTTTGCAAGGGCTCAGCAACTATAGCCCCAGATTCTGAATTGTGAGGGGGGGGGGCTTTGTGTGTGTTTTGTCTCCATGCACTGTACAGTAATCTCGCACCAATGTGGGCAAGAAGACAGATGGCTGTTTATTTCAGCTTACCAGAGCTAATCCATCACGGCACATGTAGCAATTGCAGCTTTGAACTCCACAAAGCTTTTATTTCCAGAGGTGAAATAAATAAATAACCAGGCACATGAATTCTCTCCCTCTCTCTTGTCAGCCTCACTTCTTATTGAGCATGTTCATTTGTTTTGCTAAACATCCATAATTTGGAAATTGCTTTATTTAGCCGCTGGTTATTTAATGTCATGCCAGTGTTAGCTGAACTCATGGGTGAGGGGGGAAATGAGGCTTCTGATCACTTGATTAATTACTAGGAAGGGTTTTTACTGCTTTGCAACAAGGAGACCCCTCCCCTTCAACCCCACGTTCAGGATAGATCCATCTCCTGTTTCCATTTGCACATCTGCATCAGGTTGTATTTTCTGCCCCAGTCGCCCTACAATGGTTCAATAAAAATGGATGGAATTATAATTAAAACTTCTCACAAGCTGTGGTTTCTCCTTGGAATTGTTATTAACTTGACACTCATTTATTTTTCACTCCATTACTCCAGAAAGTAGCCATTGTATTTCCAGGAGTTTCATTATTGATATCATACTATAAGTTGCTGCTCCTGACAAGATCAGATTATTGGCTCAACAAGTTTAAGAACCTGCTTTCTAAAAGATGGGAACCAGGACAATGGCTCTGCAGGTATGACATGTTGGGTTCAATTCCTCAGGGATTTATCAAGTACAAGCCTGTTGGTGATGCGTGGGAATTGTTATTGTTCCTCCTCCTCCTCCTCCTCCTTATCTTGTTAGTTGTGTGTTACACAAAAGAGGTATCCAAGCCCACATACAACATTTTTAAGAGCATAAAGGTAGGTTGTTTAAAAAAATGAATAGAAAGCACATGCAGTTCATTAAAATCCAGCAAACACCCCCCAGTAACTGTAGAAAAATGTTTGTGCAGCAGCTCTAACTGAAAGATGGCTTCCAGTGTTGGCTGAGCATAGTAAGTGAGCATTGTTGGTAGGCAGAGTTCAAGGAAGGGAGTAATGAGAAGGCAAAAACATTTGCAATATAATTTTTATATTGTTTTTCATTTTGTTGCTTGTTGGTTTGCATACTATGTTGCATTCCAGTGTTGAAAGTGGCATAAGGAAAGTTACAAAATAACTAGAGGCAAAAACCCCTTTCAGCTGGGTGGGCACTCCAAATGTTTGCAGGAGAGCAACATTCTGCCACATGCATGCAAAGTACCTACACATATAGGCACGTTGCATGTATGTGTCAGAATGTGCGCAAAGGGAGCAGAGTCTACTGTTGTGATACTGGTGTCCTGTTCTGGCAAAACAAATGTCATGGGCAAGTCAGGAGGATGCAAATATGGCAGTGCAAAGAGCAGAGCAGGAAAGAGACAGACAGGGTCCAAGCAATATTAGAATTCCTGGAAAGATGGGTGGTAGATATTTCAGGACCATGGACAGAGCCCAGGAGTTGGATGATTGTGTTAGAAACAGCTCAGTCTCTCAACTGAGCCCTTTAATGCTCTCTGAACCTGACTGTAAGTCTTTGACTGTGCATCCTTACTGAGTAGAGCAGAGCATTAAACTCCACCTGGCCTGGAGCCCAGCACTCCCATATTCTCTCCATGTGCTTATTTACTGATTCTATTAAATTTACACCCCACATTTCGTCCCAAAGGAGCCTATGCCAGGCTCGCTGCCTACACAACAACTCAGTAAAGGGTGTGACTCCTGGAGATAAATATGCCAGCCCCCCCCCTCCCGGGCAATTGGGCTTAAGGGCTACCTGTCCCGACACCTTCCTCCAGATTATGCCCTTTGCCTTTTATGAGGAAGCCACAATTCAGATGTGCCACACATCCATTTTCTTCTTTGCTCAGTCATAGCCTGAGATGAGAGAGCTATGGACCAGGCTTTGTGGACTGGGAGGTGAAGACAAAACCTTCAGTATCACCTTCACACAACTATATTGAAATGCAAGTAGAGGATGATGACAGGCCTCAGTTCCTGGAGGATTTGCCTGCAGCTTGACTTTGTTAGGCTGTTGTAGCTTTCCTGTGTTTCGTTCTTTCCTTCCTCAACAGTTAATTATTCATGCGCTTGCAACCAGGAAAACAGTTTTGTTTTCCTTTAGGTGTAATTAGAGCAATCAAAGCGTTTGTAGTACTGTAATACAAATGCGCTCCTATTCTTCCTTCCTTTGTCTCTGTTGTATGTCTCTACCTTGGTCCTGTCTGCTTCTCTGTCTTTCTCATACTCTATGTGTGTGTGTGTTCAATGCAGAGTAGAAAAATGAAGACCTTTGAACCCAAACAAGTTTCTGGAGTGCAGATGACTCGGCAATCTCTGCAGGGGAATTTGGCGTTGCCGTAATTGCTATAGATAGCAATGATTATTTGCCAAACAAAGCTAATAATTTGAAGATTGCTTCTCTGAAAAGAAGGGAGAAGCAAGGGCAAAGGGGGACTGTGTGGATGAATCTTTAATGTGCTGCATCCATATTTTGTGAACAAATGGGAAGAGCAATATTGGATGTAATCGTGAAACCATGGAACCTGCAGCTGAGTTGAATTTTGTTCTTTTGAGTCTGGAGCAAGGGAGAATTTAATTTCCCACTTGTGGTAGTCGCTTCAGTGCTTCCCAAGTAGCAGTTCATAACCACCACCTCTGTGGCTTCTGGCTTTTCAATTAGTTGGACTTTACCACATCCCTCTCACCTATGCTTTCCTGGATCTCCACACCATCTGATAAGTTTTAGCTATCTTCCATGTTGCTAGTCGTCATGCAGCACCAACTTT